AAAGAGACACAGGCTGGTTTTATCAGATTTACATTTTCAATATTTGAACTTTTAACAATAATAAACCTTTAAAAACATGAAAAAAAAAATAAATATGAAATAAAAATGGTCTTTCATACATACAATCCAACTACATACAATACAAGAATGCAAGCATTTGCCTGATCATTAAACAAGGTTCACCATTGGAATTTGGTGAATTGAAAATAAAATGTAAGCTAGATGTTGAAGCACTGTTGGCTGTCCAAAAGCAATTAGTTGACATCTGGCACTTCAAGCAATCATTAAACATTAACTTTGAAGATGTTAAAGCGTATACAAGGCCACCAAGCAGTCAGTCCTGGATTCACAGCCATGCATTCCACTTCTATGGATTTCATCAAACACTGAATGCGTTACTTCCTCTCCTTCCATTGTATGCAAAGAAATGTTGTACCAAACTTTAAGTGGCATACGACTTTTTTCCCACCAATATTAAAAATTAACTGGATGATCAATTTTGTCTGGAAACCAACACCTGTGTCTTTTGTGTTTCCTGCAAAATTCAGTAGTCTGCTCCTTACAATGAACAAGTTTGGAAGTTGCTCACTGATTTTCAAGTCTCGGCTGTTTATTGTTTCTTTCTTCACAAATGTTATTGTCTTTTTCCCTGTTTCTATATTCTTTCGCTTGAGTGGAGAAGTATCAACTGTGGCAATCAAGGTTTTCATTCCTTGGAGATTTACTGCTTGATAAACCAGCAAACATTTCACTATTCACCATGGCTCCGGGGATTTCCTTATCTAAAGATTTAATGTCATTACACACAGAAGCCTTATTTTCAAGGCTATGTCTATTGTTTTTCACATCAACAAGTCCAGTGTCAATGCCCTCAGTTTTTCTGGATATACAGTTGTCTATCACAGTAAAATCTTCCCTTGGAAGAGTTCTAACATTATAAACAGTGCAACTTTCACCTTTTTTTGCCAAAGATATATCTGAAACGTCAACTTGAGAAACCAAAATACCAGGAGGGGTAACAGCCTGAATAACATGTCCTGAAGTGGCACTGCATTTCTAGTATTGTCAACATTAGTTACTGTAGTATAAGGCAGATTATCAAATTTATTCTCACTTTGTGCATTACTTGGGGAATGTGTTACTTGGGAATCTACTTCATTCACCAGAGAACTATTACCAGTACTACCAGTAATGACTGTATCACAGACACTAGCATCACAAGCCTTCAATACAGAATCATCCTGTCTTTCTGTCACTGAAACCAGACCACCAGCCTCTTGACTGGTGTGTACCAAGGTATTATTAGATTTTTTCAAGTTTTCAATATTTTCGGCACATACATTCGGTCCTGTCATTTGATGGGAAGAAAGTTTTGTATCATTACTTAGAGTCTGTACTTCTACATTCCTCTGTTCCTCATTTTCGCCCTTTATTCTGCATTTCTTATCCAAACTACTACCTTCCGCTTCTGTGGAAGAATCGTCCAAAGTCCTTTTCAGAGCTTTTTTCGCAGAAGCTTCCACGTCAATGATTTTCTCAGCCGACACTTTCTTCTTATCTTCACAGTCACGTCCTGCATTCATCCTCTCTCTTTTAGTAGAGCCCTCTCTTCTGACATACCTTCCCCAATGAGCTGACCTTTGTGCTAATGCCAGCCTACCAATAGAGAATGCTTCATGTAGTGATCAATAATGTTAGGAACTCAATAAAATAATAGATATTAAAATAATACATACAAATGCTAATTAGTACTTTTCACATATATACCTTTGTGTAAACAATGATGGGTCTTTGGAAGCCACGAGATGCATGATGAGGAGTCACCATTTCTCACTTGTGCTGAATCCCACCTCGTGTAGTAAATAGTCATTAAATTTTTCGGGGAATAACCTGATGTTCTTGTAGTTCTCAAAAATTCTTTTCTGTAAAGTGAGAAGAGAAATTTAACTAACTTGCACAAGCACTTTTTATAAAGATATTTTTTTTCATATATAATTCAGAGAGAGAGAGAGAGAGAGAGAGAGAGAGAGAGAGAGAGAGAGAGAGAGAAGAAGAGAGGAGAGAGAGAGAGAGAGAGAGAGAGAGAGAGAGAGAGAGAGGAGAGAGAGAGCAGACCGACAGAAGACAGAGAGAAAAAAAAAAAGAGAAAACAGGGGAAAAAACAGAGAAAGCAGAGGGAAAAAAAAAAAAAAAACAGAGCAAGAGAAAGAGCAAGCAGAGAGAGAGCGAGAGAAAGAGAGCAGAGAGAAGAGAGAAGAGAGAGAGAGAGAACAGAGAGCGAGAGAGAAGAGAGAGAGAACAGAGAGCGAGAGAGAGAGAGAGAGAACAGAGAGAGAGAACAGAGAGCGAGAGAGAAGAGAGAGAGAACAGAGAGGAGAGAGAACAGAGAGAGAGAACAGAGAGCGAGAGAGAGAGAGGAGAGAACAGAGAGCGAGAGAGAGAGAGAGAGAACAGAGAGCGAGAGAGAGAGAGAGAGAAACAGAGAGCGAGAGAGAAGAAGAGAGAGAGACAGAGAGGCGAGAGAGAGAAGAGAGAACAGGAGAGCGAGAGAGAGAGAAGAAGAGAACAGAGAGCGAGAGAAGAGAGAGAGAACAGAGAGCGAGAGAGAGAGAGAGAGAACAGAGAGCGAGGAGAGAGAGAGAGAACAGAGAGCGGAGAGAGAGAGAGAGAACAGAGAGCGAGAGAGAGAGAGAGAGAACAGAGAGCGAGAGAGAGAGAGAGAGAACAGAGAGAGCGAGAGAGAGAGAGAGAGAGAACAGAGAGCGAGAGAGAGAGAGAGAGAACAGAGAGCGAGAGAGAGAGAGAGAGAACAGAGAGCGAGAGAGAGAGAGAGAGAACAGAGAGCGAGAGAGAGAGAGAGAGAACAGAGAGCGAGAGAGAGAGAGAGAGAACAGAGAGCGAGAGAGAGAGAGAGAAACAGAGAGCGAGAGAGAGAGAGAGAGAGAGAGAGAGAACAGAGAGCGAGAGAGAGAGAGAGAGAGAGAGAGAGAAGAGAGAGAGAGAGAGAGAGAGAGAGAGAGAGAGAGAGAGAAGAGAGAGAGAGAGAGAGAGAGAGAACAGAGAGCGAGAGAGAGAGAACAGAGAGCGAGAGAGAGGAGAGAGAGAGAGAGAACAGAGAAGAGAGAGAGAACAGAGAGAGAAGAGAGAACAGAGAGAGAGAACAGAAGAGCGAGAGAGAAAGAGAGAGAGAAAGAGAACAGAGAAGGAGAGAGAGAGAGAGAGAGAACAGAGAGAGAGAGAGAGAGAGAGAGAGAGAGAGAGAGAACAGAGAGTGAGAGAGAGAGAGAGAGAGAGAGAGAGAGAGAGAGAACAGAGAGAGGAGAGAGAGAGAGAGAGAGAGAGAGAGAGAGAGAGAGAGAGAGAGAGAGAGAGAGAGAGAGAGAGAGAGAGAGAGAGAGAGAGAGCGAGCGAGAGAGAGAAGAGAGAGAGAGAGAGAGAGAGAGAGAAGAGAGAGAGAGAGAGAGCAGAGAGAGAGAACAGAGAGCGAGAGAGAGAGAGAGAGAGAGAGAGAGAGAGAGAGAGAGGAGAGAGAGAGAGAGAGAGAGAGAAGAGAGAGAGAGAGAGAGAGAGAGAGAGAGAGAGAGAAACAGAGAGCGAGAGTGAGAGAGAGAACAGAGAGGCGAGAGAGAGAGAGAGAGAGAGAGAGCGAGAGAGAGAGAGAGAACAGAGAGAGAGAGAGAGAGAGAACAGAGAGAGAGAGAGAGAGAGAGAGAGAGAGAGAGAGA